TATTACTTTTCTACCTATCACTTTTGTATACCTTATGATTTTATTTTGACATAACGTATACTTTTTATATAAAACTATCCATCTTACAGTATCTTCCACAACAACTAGAAATTCAGAAAGTCACAGTCAGATAATTTATTTATATTTCCTTCTAATTATTTCATGACTTGATGGTTTTTAACATTCAATGCTTTGCTCCATCTGGACTTTATTTCGGTATATGGTGTGAGTAGAAGCGATAACGTCATTCTTTTCCCAAACTGTTAATTAGTTGACCCTGCAAAAATCGTTTTCTTTCCTCATTGATTTTTTTTTTAACATTGGCCACATGTCAGTTTTTCTACGCATCATATGTATTGATCTTCTCTTCTTGAAATATCATTTCATGTCCTACCTGTCCCCTCTTGGCCTGCTCCCATCCTGTTTTCATGTGTGTTAATTTGTGATCCTGTTTGTTACCTTGTAGGGTGAGATTATTCAATTTATCACCTTTTTAAAAAAGTGCATCATCTGTGATAATCTAGTTTTGCAGTTAAACTTAGGTATCATTTTGCCAAATTTAAAACAGGTCATTGCGCTTTTGATCAGAATTGCATTACGCTTATAAATTAACTTTTCTATAACTTTTCGTGAGGTTAATATTATAAATTAACCTTTCAGTGGTTAGTCTTTCCACTCAAGATTGCACTCTGTCTCTCCAATTATTCAAAAAATTTTTATCCCTCTGTAGAAGTTATTTTTGTATACTGCCCGCATAGTTCTCATTAATTTTATTTCTATGGATTATATGCATTTTGTAGTCACCATAAACAGGATCTCTTTTCTTTGTATTTTTATCTATCGCCGGCATATAGCAATGTTACAGACTTTTTGTTACAATATTTTGGCTACTTTAATGAAGTTTTTTTTATTAGCTCTAATAGCTTTATAATTAATTCTCCTGGGTTTTACAGATATCTGCATATATCATCTGCAAACCATAATTTTGCTCTCTCTTTTCTCATTTCCTTTTCTTGTGTCACATGGGTTAGCTCTTCCAGTAAGGCGTGAAATCCCTGAGGTGACGGTGCCATCTCTGTCTTGCTCCCGGTCTTAATCAGGTGTTTCTAAAATGCGATCTTTATCATGGGAAGGAAATACTCTTTTGCTTCATTCGGAATGCTTATTTGAATCAGGGTTACAGTACTAATTGTATTAAATGCTTGTTTAGCATTTATTTGGAAGACCTTAACTTTTTTTTCTTTTTTAATGGCATACTTTGTGTTAAGAGATTTCTTAATATTAAAAGTCATTTTGGAGATTAACTGTCCTTTGTCAGCTAATCCCTAAAGTGGGCTTTTAAAAAATTAGTGTTGAGTCAATTGATGAGCATTGTGCTGAAGAAAGTGAATTCAGAGAGGACTACTTATGTTTGAATCCCTCTGCATAACAATCACTTGAGTTCCCATTCCTTAATTTCTCTTTGCCTTGTTCTTCTGTAAAATAGAGATGATATTAATAGCACCCACTGTATAGGTTTGTTGTAAAGATTACACAAGTCGATATAGGTAAGTTCTTAGCAGAGTATCTGATAAAACAGTAAATAAATACATACAATATACCAAATTATTGAGAACTTACTGTGTGTCTAGGCCTGAGCTTGAGATGTGGATTCCAGGATAGGCAAACTCACATATGGTCTCTGCTGTCATGGAGCTTACAGTCTGGTGAGAAGACAGGTACTTAACATATAGATATCCATGAAACAATCAGATGGAAACATGGAGATTTGCATCAATGATAAGTGCCACCAAGGAGAGGTTATGGTGTCATAACAACATGTAGTAGGGGCTTTCACCTAATCAGGGAGGATCATTAGGCTGAGACCTGAAAGATGATTATGCCAAGAACAGAGGGAAACATGTTCTAGGCAGAGAGAACAGCATATGCAAAGGTCCTGTGGCTGTGCAGTAAGAGATTTGACAGGTACTGAGGACTGAGAAGGGTGGGATTTGTCTGGAAAGCTGGTGGACATGAGGCTGAGAGGTCACCGAGGGCCTGATGGCATAGAGATCCTTATAGACCTCATTGAATAGCAGTGAGGAGTCACTGAATGTTTGGAGCAGAGGGAGATGAGAATGACCTGATTAGATTTCTGCTTTGAAAAGATGCCCCCAGCTGCAATATGAAGAACGGTGGGCAAGGACCAGAGTCAATGTGGTTGACCAGTTAGGAGTCCCTATGGGAGTCCAGGGAAGAGCTTGGTGTGGGGTGAGGGAACATAGAGATAAAGACTGCATGGTAGGGCGGTGCCTGTGGCTCAAAGGAGCAGGGCACTGGTCCCATATACCGGAGGAGATGGCAGGTTCAAACCTTGCCCTGGCCAAAAAACTGCAAAAAAAAAGAAGGCTGCATAGTAGACTGGCCATCCAGATATAAAGGGGAAGAAGGCATCAGCTTCTAGGTGGGCCTAATTATTTATTTTTGTCTTGATCCCAAACTCTTTATTTATTTATTTTTGTAGTTTTTGGCCAGGGCTGGGCTTGAACCTGCCACTCCCAGTATATGGGACCGGCGCCCTACTCCTGGAGCCACAGGTGCCGCCCCATCTCAAACTCTTTAAAGCAGGCTTTATGTTATATGATCTTGCCCATCTGTAGACTCATGTAAGGTTTCAGAGCATGTTTAAGGTAGGATAGACCAAGCTTTGATACTCAGTAGGTTGGGTGTGTTGAATACACTTTAGGCTTAAGATCTTTTCAACTTCATTGAGTTTATTGGGAAGGTAATCCCATCTGGACTGAAAAATACTGCAGATGTGTTCAATGAAATTCTAAAAAACTTGAAGTAACACACAGAAAGGCAAGTAAAAAACTGCAAAATAACAACAAAGACAAGAGAGGAACCATGCGAAGGGAACACAAAAATGAAATCACAAAGTGGCAGACTTAAGCTCTAACATAGCAACGAGTAGTTTACATTCCAATAGTCTAAATGTACCATCCAAAGAAATATGCAAAATGGATAAAATAGCATGACCTGAGATGATAAGAAATTTACCCCAAATGCAATGATATATGATAAAACAATATAAACCATGCCGGCATTCATCAAAAAATGCAAGAGCAACACTGGATTGATAACAGATTAAGTATTGACAAAAGTATCATTAACAACAGAAAAGAAAAAGCATTGCAAAACAATAAAAGAGTCGGTATGCCAAGAGTTGGCAAATTTACCTGTGTATGTATCAACCAGTATAGAGCTTTGAGTTACGTGAAACAAAAAGTGATGGAACTTAAAGGAGCGACGCATAATTCTACAGTTGTAATTCAAGACTTCAACAGCCATCTCTCAGCAATTGAGGGAAATACTAGACAGGAAAGCAGCAAGGTGGGTGGGCCTTATGGAGACAGAGGTGGAGGCCCCATTCTCCTCACTGAGGGAGGGAGCAGCAGAAGATGCCAGAGTGGGAGGGTGGATGCTGCAAGTCTGAGCATCCCAGAGGAAGGTGTCGGGCTGGTTGTGCAGAGGGGAGGTCTGGCCTGGACGGTGATTACACTATGAGTCATCTCAAGTGGGGAGCTCCTCTAGAGTACAGAGAGGGGGAGAGGCCCCATTCTGAGCCTGAAGCAGGCAGAAAAAGATCAGCGGCAAGAAAGGAGGGTGAGGGGATGGGAGGAAGTCCTGGGCGCTGCGGCTCAGAGTGTAGTCCTGTGCAGAGCAGAAGCGTCACCACATCACCAGGGAGCCAGGTGGACGTGCAGATGCTGCAGCCCCACCCAGGTGTCCATCTGTACCTCCATCTGAGCCACATCCCCAGGTGGCATGCCTGCAGAGTGAGATCTGAGACGCTCTGTCCGGGGAGGAGTATTTCTGGAAGGCGTGTGAGCAACGGTGTCAGAGGTGGCCAAATAGTCTGTTAATTAATGAAGATGGAAAAAATATCCAGTCGAGCCATCAATGACCTTAGGAGACCTGTTTGGGGTGGATCTATAGGACCAGAAGGCAGAACCGATGGGGATGGAGAGTGAGTGGGAAGTAAGGAAATGGAGACAGAAAGTATAGACAGATTGTGTTTTCTATAAATTTGGCTGTGAAGGGGAGGAGAGAGAGACAAGGCTGGGGAGAGATGAGGAGTGGAGTGGGGAATTGTTTTCTTCATGATCTTGAGCACATTTTAAAGGAGAAGCTTCCAGGAGAGAGGAAACAATTAAACATGCATATAAGAGAGATGATATAGCATTCTCAAAGAGTAGAGAAGAAAGGGATCCAAGGGGCCCATGGAAAGATTTAGGTGCAGAGGGATGCCAATTCTCTGTAGTAGGAAGAATGTGCCCTGGGGTCATGCTAGAAGACCAGGGACTCCTTATTGATGGCTTTGCTTTTCTTTCTCTCTCTCTCTCTCTTTTTTTTGAGATGGAGTCTCACTCTGTCACCCTTGGTAGAGTGCTGTAGTGTCATACTTCATGGCAACCTCAAACTCTGGGCTCAAGTGATCCTCTTGCCTCAGTTTTTTTCACTTTTTTAGTAGAGACAGGGTCTTGCTCTTGCTCAGGCCATCCACCTGCCTCGGCCTCCCAGAGTGCTAGAATGACAGGCGTGAGCCACCACACTGGCTGGTTTTTATTTTCTATGGGGTTGGAAGCAGAGGACATTAGCTGAAAGTTGGGAGACAATGGGGAAGGCTTGAAATTGTCATTCTGATAATTAATGTTGTAAAACAGAAATCTGGGTTTATCCTGGTATTGGTTGCTTTTTAGCCCAAACTCCCTGAGCTTTAGTTTTCCACTGCACAGAGTTGCTCTGAGGCTCGAATAAAATGATACTCAATTTATCACGGTGTCAGTGCACGGCCCATAGCAAGCTCGCAGTCAGCGTTAGCCGGCCATCTTAGCTCATAGGAAGTATATGGAAAAAAAGTAGATGAGTCCTTCTCTAACAAATAGCTCCTATCTCTCTGGAAGCCTGTAGATATTCTCCTGGCTGCACTGAACCGCTGCTCTCTTTCTCTCTCCCAGGCCAGAACTGCACGTTCCAACTGCACGGCCCGAATGGGACAGTTGAGAGCCCAGGGTTCCCGTATGGCTACCCCAACTATGCCAACTGCACGTGGACCATCACAGCGGAGGACCAGCACAGGATCCAGCTCGTGTTCCAGTCCTTTGCCCTGGAAGAAGACTTTGATGTCCTGTCAGTGTTTGATGGCCCACCCCAGCCAGAGAACCTACGAACAAGGTACCACCCTGCCCACCCTCCCTGTAGCAGACAGCTGGGCTCTGAGCCGAGCTTGCTGAGAACTCGCTTGGATGAAAGGTTTATGGCCATTGACAAAGACTGCTGTTTCTGTGAGGCCTTCCCTCAATTCCTCTGCTTTCTCAGAGTTTCCCAATTCCTTTCTCCTGCTTAGCGGTTACCAGTAGGCAGGATTGATGAGTAGGATATTTGGGAAGACTAGGTAGAAAACATCCAAGGGTTCTAGAGAAATCTTCCATGGAAACTGACTTGACGTTACATTTACATACACAAGTGTGTATGTGTGTCTACCTTTTGGTGTATATTCTTTGCACACACAGAAATATAAGCCAAACCCAGAAGATTCAGGGCTTGAAGGCTAACAGTGATGGGCGTTGATATCTTACATGATGCATTCAAAACCATCAGTACTTTGCTGGAACTTGCTCTGCGTTTGCAGAGCCCTGGTTGTGGGTGTATATATGGGTGAGATGGCTTCCTGTGTCCCTGAGATGCCCCCCTAGGGGGAAAGTTCACATGTGAGAAGGGAGGCAGGGATAGGAGAAAGCTCTGCAGGAAGGGCAGACTCTTCTGGGGCAAAAGTGGAGGCCTCAGTGTCACAGCTCTCCAGGTTCTGCCGACCCAGAGGCCATGCTCCATCACAAGCCTTGTCCCTGTCCTGTTGGTCAGCCTCCCCAGCTCCTCGGGGAGCCAAAGGGTTAATGGCCTACCAGCTAAGCCCCAGGGAGCCAGAGGTGCTAGTTGCTTCTAATGACTGGATACTCTAATGAGTGGTTCCCTGCCACCAAGTGCTGAACCTCCAAGCTTTGTTTGCGTCTGAGCCTTTGTGTTCCCTGCTCCTGGAACAGGGTCACAGGCACATTTACAGGGACAGCTCCTAGCCCTCTTCTTTTCTCCTCCCTTTCCTCTGGGGCAGTGCAGAGGTGAGTCTAGGAAGTCTTGGTCAGGGGTGGGGAGAGCCTCTGGGGACCTGCTGACTAGTAGCTTCTCCCATTGGAGCCTGGGCTAATCCATTTTCCCTTGATGTTCAGCGGGGCTGGCACACTATGTGTTCTGAGAACCTTTGTGAAAAGGGATCAAAGTCTTCTTCACTCATTCCTTCCATACATACCTCATGAGCACCTGTGTCCTGATGCTGGCCTGGGTGCTGGGGATACGGCAGTGAGCAAAACAAAGGCACTGCCTTCATGGAGGTACGTGCTAAAGGGGGACAGCATGGCAATATCTAACATGATTATGTTCTAGAATACGCTATGGAGACAACGCATGCAGGCAAGAGGGTGATAGTTTTAGAGCATGGCTGAGGAAGGCCTTTCTAAGGGGGAGACGGTTGAGCAGAGAGCTGGATCAGTGAGCATCATGTCTGTCGTCCTATGCAGGGGAAAGTGTCTAGGCTAAGGGCATGGGGAATGTCAAGGCCTTTGGAGGGCAGTCCTGCCATGTACAGCCAGCCCTGTAGATGAGGGGTACCTGCAGTGTTGGAGGTTTCATTCTCAGCCATTTCAGGTGTCACCTCTGTGATCTACAAGGGTGAATCTGTCTCACAAGTAGACAAGTGGATGCATGAGGCAAGGGCTATAGGTCCCAGCAGAGCCCGTGGACAGGAATCCTGAAAGGGGAAGGTGAGGCTGGGAGGTAGCAGGAGGTAGTAGATTCTGCAGGGCCTCATAGCCAAGTAACGACTTTGGCCTTGGCCCAGAGGTAAACAGGAAACTCTTAGACAGTTCTGAGCAGAAGAAAAATCTGCTTTGGGGGATCTTGGGCTGCTGTGGGGAGGCTGAAGGGAAAGGGGTAAGGCTGGAGACTAGCAGGGCGGAGGCTGTTGTAATTGCCCAGGGCAGAGAAGGGGGAGGTTTGTATTCTAAACACAAAGTGGGCAGGATTTGCTGTTGTATTGGGTAAGGAGTCAGCAGTATGAGAGACAAGGGGACCAGGATGATCCCAGTCTCTTTGGCTTTAATGACTAGTAGAAAAAAAAAGTAGCTCTTGAGCTAGGCACAGTGGCTCACACCTATAATCCTTGCACTTTGGGAGGCTGAGGTGGGAGTCTAGGTATTTGAGATCAGCCTGGGCAACAAAGCAAGATCCCATTGCTATAAAATATTTTTTTTAAATTAGCCAAATTAGCTAATTTTTTAAAAATTAGCTTGGCATGGGAGTGCCTGCTTGTAGTTGCAACTACTTAGGAGGCTGAGGCAGAAGGATTGCCTGAGCCCAAGAGGTCAAGATTGCAATGAGTTGTGATTGAGCACTGCACTCCAGCCTGGATGGTAGGGCAAGACTCTGTTTCTTAACAATAACAAAAGCTGTTTCCTGATATGGGGACAGCCACAGGAGAAGCATATTGGCAAAAGGTGGGGTAGGGACTGGAGGTTAAGACTTTTGTTTGGTCATGTGAAATTTAAGGTGCTTATAAGATATCCAGATGGGTCCATTGAATGTCCACTTAAATCTGTGAATTTAGAGTTCAAGGGCATTGAGGCTAGAGGTAATAAATTGGCAGACTGGGACAGAATGGTGCTTAAAACCGTGAGACTGAATGGAGTAACAAGGGAGTGAGTCCTCTCTGTCAGATTTTTGAGCTCAGAGGACACTATCTATGGGTCAGCAGCATAAACCTTTGATGAAATGAAATGAACGTTTGAAAGACAGAAAGTCCAAGCAAGTCTCCTGAGCACTTGGTTAAGGTGGGACAACTGGAAACAGAGCCTCTAATTCCTTTCCTTACTTTTCAGGCGGGGTCCCCACAGATGCAATCTATCTTCTGTTTTCTGACACTTGGTTTTCTGACTCTGAGGGGGACATATAACAGAGTGGGGACTGACTGGCCTGTGTTTGGAGGCATTGATGGATGTTGGTTGCCCTGACCTGGGGAAGTAGTTGTGGCAGGGGAGGCTTCCTCTGGTCGTGAGGACGCAGAAGGACCTGGACACTTTTCCAGCCATGGCACGGGCCACTCCAGCCAACCAGACACGTTTGAACAGGTTGTCCCTTTTGGGGCTCCTAATCTCTGTCATCTTTTGTGACTGGCTCATTCCAATTCATTGCACAGGTAACCAAGGACATGTGAACTAGGCTGAGGGGAAGGAGCTTGATGACTTTTAGCAGCCCTGGAACTGGGGGCTCTCACACATTGAGTGGCATTAAGAAGTGGAAGAGACCCTAGCACTGGTTCTCAACCCTCCTAATGCCAGGACGCTTTAATACAGTTCCTCATGTTGTGGTGACCCCCAACCATAAAATTGTCTTTGTTGCTACTTCATAACTAGAATTTTGCTACTGTTATGAATTGTAATGTAAATATCTGATACACAGGATGGTCTTAGACAACCCTTGTAAAAGGGTCGTTTGACCCCCCAAAGGGTCGCGACCCACAGGTTGAGAACCTCTGCCCTAGAGGATGGTCTGAGTAACCTTGAAATGTGCTGTCCTTGAAGGTATTAGAACAGTTCTCCTTTAGGGGTGTGGAGGGGAGACAGCAAGCATGTGTTTGGTGGGGACCCTTAGGTCTTTGGGATGATTTTTTAAATATAGTCATCTACTTGGGTATTTTTTTAATTCGTGAGTCAGTTTTTGTCTACAGTGAACCCAGAGAGTTACCCATTTTATTGAGATTATCAAGTGTATTAGCCTAGGACTGTGCACAGCTTTCCCCCACCCCCACCATTTCCAGCTCCGCAGTGTCTGGGTTACATCCCTCTCTCACATCTGTTCCTGTGGTTTGTGTTTTCTTTCTTCTTACTCAATTAGTTCCTGCCGGAAGTTTGCATGTTTGATTGCTCTTTTTAAAGTTCCCATGCCAGGGCTATCAATTTTATGCTTTCTCTATTATCTAACTTATTGATTTCTGCTTTTATCTTTATCCATTCTTTTCTTCCTCTTACCTTAGGCTGATGTTACTCTTTTGCTGATTTCGTGAATTGAATTAGTTTTATGATTTCTTCTTTGATAATAAAAATATTAGGAGGCATTTTCCCCTAAGTACAACTCTGACCATATCCCATAAATTTTGATGGCTAGTTGTTATTTTAGAAAGAGTGTCTAATTGCAGTTTTGTTCTTTTCTTTTACTCTAGGGTTTTTCCCTCAAAATTTCAAGCAATATTTGTTTATACTTAAAAAATTATTAGCTAGTTTTATTGCATTATGATCAGATTATGATTTCTACTTTGGAGAATTTGTTGACTTTTTTCCCTCTAAGATCATTTTTTGAAACAGTTCCAGTGAGTATTTGAAATAGATATTCTGTGGTTGAAGGGCCAAAAAAAAATTATGTTATTAATATCATTCCATCTTTCTGATTTCTTATTTACTACCTAATTGATATTTGTCAAGGTAAACAGTGTATTGGCCTTATGTTTCACTGGAGATTTTATGGAGTTCTTTTTTTATTTCTACATTTTTATTTTATATATTTTGATGCCATACTCTTTGGTACATAGATATATTTTAACTATTAGAGCTTCAGAATAAATTGCACATGTTTTTCCAATATAAGTTGGAAATTTATCCCCCAAAGTCTCTTGCCTTAATTAAATTCCATTTTGATACTAACATTGCCACCTTTTTTCTTTTAGGTTTGCTTTTATTGAGTCTATCTTTGCCAATTTATGTACTTTTAATATGACCATGTCATTGTTTTAAGGGTAGCTCTTAGTACAACATGCATAGTGGTTGAATGTTTTAGAATCCTAACTGGGAGTCTTTATTCTTTAACAGGAAAGTTTAGTCCACTCACATTTTTTGGTGATAACTGATACATTTGCTCTTCTATGGCACTTAATGCTTGCTATTTTTAAGCTTGCTTACTTACTTTACTCTGTCTTCAAGGTTTTTTTCACCTTATCTCTGTGCATTTTATCTTGCTAGTAGTTAATTACTTCTGTGGAGCACATTTTAAGCTGTATTTCTCTGACAACATCCTGCCTGTCTGGACTTTTTCTTAATTGGGTCTTATGGGCTCTGTATCTTGTATAAATTCCT